AAAAAAAAAAGACTATCATTATGTGCCTGAAAAAATAAATTTATCGAGTAAAGCAATGAAATATTTTCAGCTATCAATTTAAAATTTGGCAGAATATAATTATAACAAATGTAAATAAAAAAATCAGATAATAAATAAAAAATTAAAATAATATGAAAGATATGAGCAAATTTTTGTATATCATCCTCCTTATATATAATTATCGAATGCGTTGAGCCTACGTGTCTGTTTCTGGTGCTTCAAAATCCTACTTGGCGAAGAATCATGCTTCGTAATTAGGTTTGGACAAATAATATTGATATATTAATAATTAATAATTTAGGTTCGGACATTCCATAAATATTATTTAGCTAACTTAGGTACTTTAATATCACTTTTACTAATATAATCATTTAATTCTTTGTAATTTTATATAATGAGACACTACATGACTAATATATCCCTGACTTTTGATTTGTTTCCTTCAATTAGCTATTGAATTGTAAATATATTTTAAAAGTTGATAACTTTTGTATTTCTTATCGGTTTTATATATATGATATATCAAATTAATCATCTTTTGATGATCTTCGATTTGACATTCATATTGTATATATGAAATAAATAAATTATATTTATCTTTATAATAATAAAAAATAATAATATGTTAAAAATCATAATTAGAAAAATAAAATTAGTTATCAATTGATATATTTATGTTTAATGTAATTATATGTTGTAAGCTAAAAAATTATTATAATATAACACAAGTAAGTCGCACAAATAAAAAAGTGTCATACTAAATATATAATAATATATATATATTTATAAAAGGTATTGAAATTTTCAATTAATTTTTCTCATTAATTTTATATTTTAAGAAAAAATTAGCAAACACTTGTGTAATCAGGGTCGGCCCTGGGCCAGGGCAGCATGGGCTACGGCCCAGGGCCCAAATGGAATTAAGGGCACCATTAGGAATTCAGCCCATATACCATACATAGATGATTTATATTTATTATATATACCTAATGACTAACTTGTGTGGACTCTCTTTACTCGTGAATATAAATATATAATAATAATAATAATTAAAAAAATAGAATAGGCTTAATGATTGCGTTAGTCTCTTTGACTCTTGAATATAAATATATAATAATAAAAAAAATAGAATAGGCTTAATGATTGAAACGCAGACAAACGGTCCAAAATCAACCTCTATCCTTCCAATCTCGATTCTTTCTCAGTCTGTTCATCTTCCCCTTATTTCTCTCATTCCCCAAAATCTAACGGTATATTACATTAATTTTTTCATATTATAAATGGCTTAGCCTTTTTTTTTCTTATTCACCATCGATCCATCTGTTTTTCCTTACATCAATTGTTTCAATCAATAGCAAATTTGTTAAATAACTTCCAACAATTCTGAATTTTTCTTGAATATGTTCTTATTTTTGAAAAATCTGACCTTTCCTATTAGTTTTTGTTGTTTATCGGCCTAGTTTCGGCCCTGTCGTAGAAGGAAAATCGAACTCAGTCGTGAGTCGTGGGCCGACAACCGATCCTCTAACTCAGTCTTGAGCCGACAGCCGACGAGAAAATTGAATTGACATCCAATCAGCCATCTTCAAAGTTTAAAGGTAATTACTAAATTTATAATTGGGATTATAAATTTATAATTTATTTAAATTGCAAATCATGTAATTGTGGTTGAGACATGGGGATAATTGAGATGAACAAAGAAATTGATTTTCCTTAGTGCAATTTACTATTTTGATTTTAGATAGTATGTTTATGGCCTGGAGTTCAATAAAAAGTTCAATTTGTGTATTGTTGATTGAGTGAATTTAGTTACATAACCTTTTTAGTTTTATCAAATCCTTTTATGCTCCCCAACCTCCCTTGCATATTGAAATCTTAGACTGGAAGCACTAATGTTATGTAATCACTAATCAAGGTTATATGGTTATTTATCTATAAATAATAAAAAAAAA